TGAGGCCTTGTATAGCGAACCGCGCTCCGTCCAGGCTACTGGTGCTCTCGACCCCTCCGCCGCGGTTTCGTCCGAGGTCGTTGACGGTCTGGTCGTGGACCAGGAACCAGTTTGCCCCGACTTGGATCTTTTTGAGTTTGGCCCCGAGGAGGAAGACCCTTGGGCCGACGAATCCTGTTCTTTTCCTGCTGGGGCTGAAACTGTCTCGCAGGGGGTGGGTATGGAGTTAGGTCTCCCTGGAGGGGCGGGGCCTGGCGTTGTCGAGGGCACAAGTCAGTCCGCCAACCAAGCTGAGCGCCCCAGGAACTTCGACTCCCTGGAGGGGGATGATAGCAGTCTCGCCCCCGCTGGTGCTGCTGCGTCTTCTGCTCCCCTCCCGTCTTACTCCATCCCTTCCTCGTCGTGGGTAGATGCGTTGGCTCAGACACCCTGGCACGCCCACACTACTCACGAAGTTTGGCCCCCTATTTCAATCCGTGGCTTTCGAAGTTGGAGGCCCACGCATTCTTCACGTTAGCAATGCTTTCTCTCGCTGGGTTGAGACTGCCGAGCGGGCGGTCTTGGGGCATCGCGACGTCGGCATGTGCGCGCGATCGCGCAGTGCAGGATGCAGCCTCAAGGTCACGGCCGTCAAGCAGGCAGAGCACATCCGTCAGCAGCCTTTGAAGGACGGCATCTCGTCCTGGTGGGCACGAGTGCACAACGTGGTGCAGAGGGCCCCCAGGCAAAGGCGACGTCAGAACGGAGAGCTTCAACTGACGCAGCTGGCTGCAGCAGGAGTTCGTCTAGCAGACCATCCTCTGGATGGGGCTGGAGCGGCCTTTCCCGCGGGGGCTGGCAGCTGGGAACTATTTCTAAGCTATCTTCGGAAGTTGCTTGACTTGAACGTCGAGCTACTGGCACAGCTGGAGGAACAATCTTATCGTGCGTCCAAGAGGGCACACAACAAAGCAGCATCAGCATCGTTGCGAGAGTTTCAACAATGGTTTTCTTCTTTGAATACGCTGGGAGTGGTTCACAAGAGCATCAAGGACCCCGATCCTGAACGAGACGAGCTGCATGATGCAGCAGATGATGGAGTTCTCGTTCGCCCCAAGGACATCGTAGATCGCAAAGTGGAGGTGTATCATTCTAAATGGAAGTCTTCGGTGGCCACTCGGGATTCCATCGTTCGTACGTGCGCTATGGTTCGTGGTCAGGCGGAGATCGAGCAGCTCCCACCTCCCACTGTCAGCGATGTACGAGCGGCTTTATCTCGGATGAAGCCGAGGGCTGGCCTCGGCATTGATCGCCTATCGCCCAGCGGCTTTCAACGTCTGCCTGACGAAGGAATCCAGGCCCTGTGCGATTTGTTCCTGCGCATCGAACAAGGATTGTCATGGCCTTGGCAAAGTCTCTGCGTTGTGGGTAAATCGTTGGGGAAAAAATCAGGCGGCGATCGAGTCATAGGATTGATCGCGATGCTGGCCAGGGTCTGGTCCATGGCGCGCGAGGTGGAGATGAAGGAGTGGTCCATCGAGCAGGCTGAAGTGGATCACTGGGACGCGGCCGTCGCAGGGAACAGTGCCCTGCGAGAAGCACTCGTGCGGGCGCTGGAGGATGAGGTCCACACGCGGCTGCAGATCCCGAGCGGCCACACGTTGTGGGATCTCGCGCCCTTCTACGATTCCATAGAGTTCGAGCCCCTCGCAGAGTGCGCTCTGGAAAAAGGACTTCCGCCAGTTATTTTATTCTTAGAACTACAGCTGTGTCTGGCACCTCGCATGCTGGAACAGCTCAATTGTTTTTCTGAACCGTTCGAGGTGGCACGGTCTGTAGTGCAGGGTCTACGGAACGGCACGAGGTTCGCCAAATGCATCACGGCGAATACGTGTCGGCGACTCTGCAATTCCTTTGGATCCCTTCGGCAACGTATCTGGGTCGACGATTTATCGCAAAGAGTGTCAGGGTCACGTGCTCATGTTAGGACGACCTTGATCAGAGGTGGCATTCAGACCGCCGAGGATTTCCAGAGACTTCATCTTGGCCTGGCGGACAAGAGCATCATCACTTGTTCGCATCACGCCGACGCAATCGCGGTTGTGAGGGCTTTGAAGCGCAAGGGCATCCACCTGCGCGCAGCTCTCCAGGCGGCATATCTTGAGGTCGACCTCAGCAGCGGACGACGTCAAGGTCGAGCTACAGTACGGCAGCGGCAGCTGAAGTCGGGGCAGTCGCATGCTCGGCTACGGCGTTTCGCTCAAGCTGCTCGGCGCTGGCATGCGTCGGGCAAACTTCAACGGGCTGGACCGCAAGCAGCAGCAGTCTACGGACATCAAGTCCACGGCCAATTCGGGTCGACGATGTTGGCTCAGCGCCGTCGGCTAGGAGCGGCTGCAGGATCGTCGGGGCGAGGGAGATGTTTGACGACGTTACTCTCGCTTCGGCTGCCAGGTTGCGACCCAGGCCACCTGCTGCCCAAGCAATGTATTTCTCAATGGTTGAGTGTGTGGCTATCGGAGGTTGGGCTACGACGTTCTATCCAACTGGCCTGGCCTCGGGCGGTGGCGCACCTACGTTCTCTCCCCCAGGGCCAGCGCACACGGCACGTGCGCGGCCCCATGACCACGGTGATCCTTTATTTGCTTGAAGCGGGATGGTCGCCTAACTCTCCCGCGGACTGGGACGTGCCAAATGACGGCACCGCTGTAGTTCACGCCTGGCAGTTCGACAGTAGTGACTTTGAGGTGCTGGAACAGGCAGCCCCGTTGTTGGCGGAGTTTGAGCGCACATGCGAGCTGGAGCAGTGGAAGGAAGCGTCGGTTTTGTTCTGCGGAGGCGGCCTCGAAGGAGGTGCTGACATGACCTCCTTGAGAGCCATGGTTGCAGATTTGTTGCACGCCCGCAAGGGCCGTCAGTTGTCCGAGCTGTTGGCGACGGTGGCGACTGGAGGCTGGTGGCCGAAGGTACGTAGTCATGAAGCGGGACTTCGAGCTGATGATCTGTGCGACCGTTGTGGCACGGAGCAGGACACACCTCTGCGCAGATGTTGGACATGCTCAAAGAATCAGGGCTCGCGTGCTTTTGATGAGTCTAACGACTTACTTCCGCAAGCAGTGGTCGAGGCGGAAGCGTTTCCTTGTTTCTGGATGCGAGGGCTCATTCCCTCCGCCTGGACCTCCATTTCTCCCCCCCCCGTCCGTCGAGCTGATTTCTGGAGGCTGTCTCGGGAATGACGGTCTCGGGGACGGCTGTTTAGGCACGGGGACTGCTTCGGAGCCTCTGGTGGTCTTCGGAGACGCGTCTGGGGGTCGTGACACTCTCGACACCAGGCTCAGGCGGGTAGGTATAGGGCTCGCCACCTTTACTAGTTACAATCCTTTGGCCCTGGGGCCTTTCTTGCTGGGGCCCCTCACGGGAACGGCACAGAGCGTTCCAAGAGGTGAACTCAGGGCTTTTGAATGGGCCTTGCGTTTCAGTGTAGGCGAAATGTTATATGTCACTGACTGTGACGAAGTTGCCCGCGGGTGGTACGCCGAGCTGTTTCGCAGGCCTCAAGGCCCACAATCCGACATATGGCGTGAAATTGGTAAATTACTAACCACGCAGGGTCGATCTCCAGCGTGTATAGTTGTCGCTCAGATCCCGTCTCATCTGTCTGGAGCTGAAGTTCTGGCACGAGGTCTTCCCTCGTGGTTGGTGCTAGGCAACTCGTGTGTAGATGCTATTGCAGGGGAGGCCGCGAAGCTTGCGCGGGTCTCCCCTCAGGAACGTCACAAAATCCAAGAGGTTGAGCAGCGTGCTCGCCTTGTTCGGAGGAGGTTGCTGCGTGTCGGCTTAGACTCCATTCGAGCGTCCCAGCTGTCTGGACACCAGAGAGTGCGGGGTGCTGGTAGAGTTCCTCCTCCCCCCCCTCTTGCTATTGCACGCTTCGCGTCCGCACATACCCTGACCGAAAGCGGGAGGGCGTGCAGTGTGTGTAAAGGCTCCGCGACTAAGGCGGTGGTGTCCGAATGGTTAAAAAGTGAGTGCTTCCATCTCCAGCATGTGAACGGTGAGCTTAGTCGAGTTCCTAAGGGGCGGCGTTTACACTTAGCTGGTGGCTGGACTCATCCCTCACACGCTTTGACCTATCATAAAGACCTTAAAATTTGGTTTTGCCGCACATGTGGGTTCTTCGGTCAGGCCCAGCTCAGAGGCCTGGGAGAACCGTGCAAGCTTCCAATTTCTAAGGCCAGGCGCGAATACCTTGACAGGATTGATCGTGACCTGTTTCCGAAGTGCTGAGCATTCAAGCCTGGTTATCACTACGTGATGGCGGAAATCCTGGAAATCCTGGCTATCGCCGGACAATCAGAGTGAATGGGCCGAAATGTCATTCACCGTCCCTGGGTGTGTGGCTGAAGTGGAGTTCCGCGGCGCGGATTTTGTTTGTTGTTTGTTGTCGTCGTCCCACCCGCGACCCGCCCCGCGACCCACCCGACGCGACCCACCCGACGCGACCCCCCCCCGCGACCCACCCGCGACCCACCACGCGCCCGCCCTCTCACTCGTATCCGCAACTGCGGGGTGCTACACACAGTCGAGGTTGACTAGTAGGTCGACCCTGCCAGCCAAAGGGCGCCCCTGTTTCCTGTGCTTCGCGGCCCGTGCCTTCTGCACTCCTACGGCAACGTGGTCCCCGGAGACTCCTGGAGTTAAGTCGGGCCTGTCCCTCTACAGGGGGAATATTCAAAAATCTTCAAAAAATAGTCTGGGGACTATGTTTTGAATATTTGTGGCCCCCTTGTGAGCATTTTTAGAGTATTTTTCATTTTTCGTCCAGAATCCTTCTGTAGGAGGACAGGCCCGACCTAATCCCATGGCAGCGTGGTCCTCTGCAGCCAGCCCCGACTGCAGAGCAGCCTCCTGCCGCCCTGCTGGCCGGCGCGCCAGACGAGCGCCGTGCCTCGAGCGCGCGGGCGGGTGCCCGCTCCTCTCTCCCCGGCTGCTCCGCGCGGCCCCCCCCTGCCGCGCTGGAGGAGCAGGCCCGTGCATCAACACGCCGCGCGGAGCGTCTGCAGGCTGGGGGGCGGGACTCATCAGGGGCAACGATAGGGGGGGATAGGCATAGGGGGGGATGCATCGACCCCCAATCGCCGACTGATCGCCGATCGGGGCCCGATAGCCCCAACCTGCACAGGAAGTGCGGATTCACTATCGGGGGCCTACCGCCGATCAATCGGCGATGTATCACCGATTCCAGGTCGATGCATCACCCCCCATGCCAGTCCCCCCCCTATCGTTGCCCCTCAACTCAGAGGAGCGAGGGGTCGTGTTGATGATGCGTTCCAAGACTTCCAGGGTCATCACGATTCCCATACCTCCTAGTGTTCCGCACTGGTTGCGCCGCTGGATGCTCATGGACTCCTGGAAATCCTGGAGCGTGCCCTGAGCCAACCGTATCATGACATCACTCTCGCCCTGTGGGATGCCTTCACGATTCCCGTGCCCGTGTCGTGCAGCGCTGGGGGCCTGGGGTGTCGATGGGGGAGAAGCGGCCCAGGGGGGGGGACGCACCGACCCCCGATCCCCCATTGATCACCGACAGGGTGCCCGAGAGCGAGCCCCGCCCAGGACATTGCGGACTCGCGGTCGGGGGCCCATCGCCGATCTGTCGGGGATCTGTCACCGCTGCCAGGTCGATGCTTCCTCCCCCCCGGGAGCCCCCCCCCTATCGTTGCTCCTCTTGAGCAGGGATCGACCGTCCTGACATTCTTATAGTCCTACCACGACATGTTCTTAGAACCCAAAATTATTTTAAGAACAAAAACAATGTTCTTAGAACATTAGCCCGATGTGTTAAACTAAAACAGTCTCAATCAGAAATGGTTTAAGAACATTTCGTGCAAACCACGAAAGGTTCTTAGAACATTCTTTGGCGGGGCTGTAGGCGAGCAAGGACGCTTCGCCACTGCTTGCCCTTCAGGCGGGGGGGGGGGCCTGCAGTGGCGGCGCAGGCGAGGCGCGGGCGGGAGCAGGCGTCAAGGCGTCGCTGCTGCCCGAGGGGGAGGGGGATCGGAGGGTCGGCACGGGAAGGCTGCGCCGGAGGAGGGCCAGCCGAGACAACTCGGGGCTCAAGATACGGGGGCCAATGCAAGCGTTAAGTCGGGCCTGTCCCTCTACAGGGGGAAAATTCAAAATTAGTCAAAAAAATAGTCTGGGACCATTATTTGAACATGTTTTGGCCATTCGGGGGGGTATTTTTCTAGTATTTTTATTTTTTCGCACACAGTCCCCCTGTAGGGGGACAGGCCTGACCTAATGCAAGCGCTGGTCAGCCAGAGCGCCAGATTTTGCAGGATCCTGCAGGGCCAGGGGTGCATTGACCCAGGCTTGGGTGCAAGATCCGGAGGATCTTGCAGGGTCTTGCAGGATCTTGCAAGGCCTGACTGGCCCGGGTTTGGATTGACCTGGGTCAGCAGGTCCCCGAACAACGGCGGCTCACCCTGGCGGGTTTCGTCCTGGTTGGGTGTCGGGGAGGCTTCGCGCCGCCGCGGCTGGATCCGCGTCGAAGAGCGGGTCAGGATGGACCTCGGGAGGGGTCCAGGGACAGGCTTCGCGCGGAGTGGTGCATTGGCGGGGGAGCCGCCGTTGTCGCAAGGTGCCAGCCGAGATGCAGAGTCCACCGGGGCGCCACCCACTTGTTTGGGCCTAGAGCGATTGGGCTTCGGAACAGGCGAGCGGACGCCGTCTGGGCAACGGGACAGAAGCGGCCGCCGGGTCTGATTGTGTTTTGAGAGAGCGCGCCTCTTTTTCCCGGCAGCGCGTCTGCGTGATGGTGGCAGGAGGGATTGAATTGAGGAGCCGAAGAGTTCTGTTTGCGGCTTTGCGCTTACAGTTTGCTTTCAGCTGGCTTCCGTGACCGTGACAGAGCTCCAAGTGATGGAGGAGGAGGAGGAGGAGGAGGAGGAGGGGAAGGAGGGGGAGTCAATGAAATCGTTCACTCACGAAGCTGGTCATTTTGGTTTCTGTAGTCTTACTTCGCCGTTGTCGTCGCCGCGATGATCGTGAGCAACCAGTGTCGACTATAATCTTGTTTCCGCAGGGATCAATGCAATGAAAGTCTTTCGGGATGCGCGAGAGGCGCCTCGGGCGACAACTAGTTTGAAATGCAAAGCTCGTGTGCAACGGCTATTTCGCAATGTATGCACCTCACATCGGGCCCCTGCTCCTCATGCTCGGGAGTCTCAGGAAAGTCGAGTGTTGGTTTTCTGCATGTCTCGGCCAGCGATTTTGCTTTACGGTTCCTGGGGCGTGTTTCTTTGTTGCTTGGGGCATAGCAGGCGTTATGGCCCCCGCCCCCCCAACCTACAACGTCACGCCCCCCCCCCCCCAGTGCGCCCGAGGCCCTGCCGCTGTGCGCATCGGGATCCGCATGGGTGTCCGCATAGGAATCCGCAGAAGGGTCTGGTCCGCAGTCGTCGCCGTCGTCGTCGTCGTCGTCGTCGTCGTCGTTGTCGTCGTCGTCGTCGTCGTCGTGTCGTCGTCGTCGTCGTCGTCGTCGTCGTGTCGTCGTGTCGTCTCTGTCGTCGTCGTCGTCGTCGTCGTCGGCTCCGTCGTCGTCGTTGTCCTCGTCGCTCGTCGTTCGTCGCTCGTCGCTCGTTGCTCATCGTCGTCGTCGCCGTGCGCGCAGACGCGGTTGGAGCCTGCTTTCTTTGTTCTTATTCTGGGTCGATGACGGCCTTCATTGGGGCGGGGGGGGGCAGTGACGTCTCGTTTCGCGCCGTCGGAGTCTGGGAATGCTCAAGACTGACCGAAAACGGGCAGCAGCAGCAGCATGTAAATGGCGATCTGCCCCACAGTGCCCGTGTAAACCACACGGTGTACATAGGTGGTCCACCTATGTACACCACAGCAGCCGCGTGCAACACAGCGCAAGTTTGTGCCACAGTGCCTGCGGGTACTATTTCGCTTGTGTACATCACAGCGCCCGCGTACACCACATCAGCCGTGTGCGACGCAGCTCCGGTGTACACCACAATGCTTGCGCGCACGACACTGCCTGTGTACACCACTGCACCTGTGTTCACCACGGCAACCGTGTGCAACAGAGCACCACTGTTGCATACATCTATAAATCTACATATACTTCTACACGAAAGAACCCTTATGACAAAATGGAGTGCCTGTGGATTCAATAGAAAACAGTTGTTGAATTCAGGATTGGAAAAATGCTTCCTCATGGAAAACAGGAACGCCGTTGGAATCTACGAGTCCTCCCGAGTCTTCCCGCATCATCCTAACTCTGCCCATGTGCGTCCAGGGGGCTCCAGCAAAATTGGCCGTCCGAGAACCAAGTGGACTGATTCAATAAACCATTATGCGGTGCACGCTTGGATGCGCACGTGCGCTGCAGGGCCGAACCGCACGACAGGGGGGAAGGGTGAGGGAGGCGGGGCCGATGACGGCCGCTATCCCCGATCATAAAAAAACGGGTTCCTGTGGTGCCAGAGCCACACGGCGGGGGGTGCGTTACGTGATACCCCCCCCCGCCCTCCCCCATATGGCGCCCGTTTTCGCCGAAAATGCATAAACGCGCTCTGGCAGCGCGGCTTTGCAGAATCGGAGTTAAACAGGTTGTCGCGCCGCTTCTGACGTGGATTCCTACTTCTCCAGCTGCGCGGTCGGCATGATGACGCTGGTGAGCCGTACGATTTCTTGAACCTGGGCCTTCGATGTTCTTCTCAATTAGTTATTAAAGCATTCCACCAGCGGAGAAGTCCACATCGCTGCCACTTGTAAACCCAGAATGCGGTGGGCTGTGCACACCCAGGTAATCCACTGGGGCTTGCACAACGAAGCCGCGTGTGTACTGCAGACCTGTCCGCGGTAAGTTGGGTCCTTTGCCGTCGGCGTTTTAGGCTGGGGAGTTGGGGTCGAAGTTTGTCGATCGGGGCCGACACACGCACCATACTTTCGACGTTGACGATGACCTCGTCGTGGGGTGGTACACCTTGGCCTAGAAAAGCAAACGGGCTGAGATGGTATTGCACCCGCACGTGGTCCAGCACGCCGTTTGTAAATGGTGCGTGTCCTGTGTGTTTCTTGCAGACGGTGCCGTATCCTTGCATGAGATCCACGAGGTTCGGGTAGGGGTCGGCTTTCCATTTCTGTGCAACATGGAACCACAGGCCCTCGTTCCCCCATTGCGCTTTATGTTTCTTGCAATTTACCATGTGTCTCACTTCTTCGCTGACGGGCCTGGCCAGCAAGCGTAGCGCCCGCCTGGGAATCACTAACACCTCCATGCGCTGCACTGGCGAGCGGCAGCTTCAAGGCGTGCGCAGTTCCCCCATTGGCGTCTCCAAGCCCGTGACGGAAGCAGCCGTTCGATTGCCGTTGATTTTATGCGTGTGGATGTTGGGTTGTAGCCGCCGCTCTTGTGCATGATTTCCTGGACTGCCATGATCATGCGCACATTCCCGGCGTCATACGCCCACGTTGTCCTCTGGCTCTGATGAGGTCAAGCCCAGACGAAGCGGTGCAGGGACACTGTAAAAACACCAGCAGTTGTTGGGCATGCCGCCACGATGGCGGTATTCGTGTCCTCGAATTTGGTAGTATCTTCCTTGACGGGATGGGGCGCTCTGCATCTTTTCCGACATGGCCCCTGCTGAATTCTCCGTGACGTCCTTGGCTTGGGCCAGGAGCCGTCCTAGACGTGTCGAGGAGTTGGATGGCGGGCACATCGCGACCACCCACTAGAATTCCCCCCTGGCATCAGTGTTTGTGTGCGTGTGTGTGTGTGTGTGAGTGTGTGAGTGTGTGAGTGTGTGTGTGTGAGTGCGTACGTGTGTGAGTGTGTGTGTGTGTTTGTGTGTGCGTGCTTGTATGTGTGTGCGTGTGTGCTTGTGTCTGTGTGTGTGTGTCGTGCGCGCGTTGAGGATCTCTGTAGCATCCGGGCTATGCGTAGGTTCGAGTATAGTCTCAACGGTGTCTTCTGGAAGTTGCTCTTCGCCGCCGTCGCAAGTTTCATCGTCGTAGTAGACCTTTTTGCCGTCGTATTCGAAGGCGTTGACTTCGGCCTCTTCCTCGACTCCTCCAGGTCGACGGGGAAGTCGTGTGTAACTAGCTCTGTCCTTGCTCTGTGTGAACGCGCTGTCTGCCAGCTCCAGTGCTGACTGCCAGCGTCTGGACTCGTCCAGCTGACCGATGCTGAGCTGTTGTGCTACTTCCCAGGTTCCTCAGGTAAGGTTCTGCACGATCTCCAGCTGGTGTCACCAGGTGCTCGTTCTCCCTTAAGCGCGCCCTATGTGCGTCAAGTTCCATCTTCGGGACAAAAAGTCTGTTGCAGTGTTGTAGAATTATGGAGCTCTGACCGTCGTAGCTCCTCTGCGTGACAATTGCCGCACATATGTAGTGTTCCAAAAAGAGCATTGCCTTCGAGGATTGAAGGAGCTGTCATCTCTTCCGCGGCGGACGAGCGGCGGTCGGCGGAAGTAAAACGAGGCCACTCCGCCGGCGGAAGCAGGCGGAAGGGGGCGGAAGGCGGCGGAAGTAAACAATGCGCCCCCACGAGATGAAGACGTTGTTGGGTTCAGGGTTTCCGAAATCCGCCATATGTTCGGGTTCGCAGTTGCTGCACCACCCGTTTGTCTCCTAGCATCGTATCATTATTTGGTGGTGCGTCTCTGTCCACATTCGTCTGAGGTTGGGTTGTTGGTCATGCTTGTTTCTCTTAGTCGTTCCAGTTGCCACGAGAATTGCGAACATCCAGTGCCAGCTCTAGTTGTTTGAATCCGCTGAAACCTGTACGACGAATGCAGGCGTTGGCGTGTTCGAGGCCTCTCGAGCTAAAACTGAGGGCGCAACGCATCCCTCGTGTGCAACTGCTGTGTTGCAATGGCTTGCAGGAGCAGCTGGGATGGAAGGCGGCGGGAGAGCTGGTGGAGGGAGCAGGAGGAGGAGGAAAACGACTAGGAACAAGGGCAGGAGCTGGAGCAGTGTGGAGGAGGGCAGGAGCAGCAGAGGAAGGGGAGGAGGAGGAGGAGGAGGAGGAGGAGGAGGAGCAGGAGAGGCACGAGGGCGAGAAGGGAGGAGACAGGAGGAGGAGGAGGAGGAGGAGGAGGAAGAGGAGGAGGAGGAGGAGGAGGAGGGAGGCGGCGCGCAGGGGCGGCGGGGGGCGGCTGGCCAGAGGCCTCCCCGCGATCGACCTCGACCTGCTTCAGAAGCAGCAGGCCGAGAGGATGGCGAGCAGCGCGAGGTCGGCGATGACCCACGAGGAGATGAGGCGGCGGGGGCGGAAGGGACGGGCACGGAGGAGGAAGGGAGGAGGAGAGGAGGAAACGGAGGAGGCGAGATAGCCCGCGAAGGTCAGGGCCACGGGGGGGGGGGGAGGGGACCTGCCCGTGGCGGGCTCCTCCTCCTCCCCCTCCCCTCCTCCTCCCCACTCCTCCTTCGTGTCCATCGTCCTCGTCTCGGTCTCCTCCTCCTCCGTCCTCCTCCTCCTCCTCCTCCTTTCCTCCTCCTCTCCTCCTCCCTCCTCCTCCTTCTCCTCGTCCTCCTGCTCCCCCTCCTCTCTGCTCCTCCTCCTCCTCCTCCTTCCTCCTCCTCCTCCTCCTCCTCCTCCTCTCCCCCTGCCTCTTCTCCTCCCTCACCTCCTCCTCCTCCTCCGCCTCCTCCTCCTCCTCCTCCTCCTCCTCCACCTCCTCCTCCTGCTCCTCCTCCTCCTGCTCCTCCTCCTCCTCCTCCTCCTTCCTCCTCCTCCTCCTCCTCCTCGGGGGGGTCATCGTCCCCCAATCGCCCATTTATCGCCAATCGGGGCTTGGTCCCCCACTGCCGCCCAGGAGCGCGCAATTTCGTGATCGTGGGCCCGGTGGTCGATCCCTCAGCGATGCATCGCCGATTCCACGTGGATGCTCCCCCCTTGGGCCACCCCCGTGTGGTTCCCCCCCAGCAGTAGGGGTCGATGACGGCCCACGACCAGAGGCGGAGGAGACGGATACGGAATTGGAGGATGTTGATGGCGCAGGGATGTCCCACGCTTGCCGCAGCCGGGAGCGGCAACCTCTTCCGCTTGCTGCCTGCATCGGCCAGCCTGTGGCGGGGGAATGGAGGAGCCCCAAACCCGCAGGTCGATAATCCTCAGGACGTGTGTTAGCTCAATGTGTGTGTGCGTTCTCTCTTTCTCTCTCTGTCGTGTGTGTGTGTGTGCTGTGTGTTGCATGTCCGTGTCTGTGCCTGTGTCTGTGTCAGTGTCGGTGTATGCGTGTCGTGGTGCGCGGGTTTGTTTCGAGCTCTGCACTTCCCCTCGTCCTGTCTTCCACCCCGTCGCTCCTCCCTCGTCCCCCTCATATGACTGCCTCACGTGGGATCTCGTTCAGCGAGAGGGGGGGATCTCTGTGGGTGGGCCCTGCGCGTTGCCTCTGGGCCTGCCGATGTCCCGGCCGCGGCCGCCGCACCACCCTCTGGTCGCGCCTGCCAGCCTGACTCCGCCGCGCTGCTGCGCGCGTGGCCGCGACGCCAAAAGTTTGTGTGCGTATTGTCCGCGTACGTCTGTGTGCGTATCTATAGATACACACGTATGTGTATGTCTATGTGCGTGCTTGTGTGTGTGTGTGTGTGTTACAGCGTCTGGCTCAAGCGGTGGCACGCAGCCGGCCTCGGCCGTCGTTGCACAGCCTGCGCCGTTTGGAAGGGCGTCGGCGGACAAGCACACGTTGGCACTAGCTCACCTGCTGGCGATCGTCGGACAGGGCAAACACTCACTCCCAACAACCCGACCAGGGCACGGAGGAGCCTGCCATCGCTGTGAAGCCAGCGGGTCCCGAGGGAATCGGGCCTGAGGGTGTTCGTCGCGTTCGGGCTTCCAGGCCCTCCGCATGGCCCCAGGGACCGGGGACGAAATGCTGATCCTGGGGACAGCCCCCGGGGCCCAGGATCCGTTTCGCCTCGGCGCTTTCCCCAGACCCTCGACGTCGTGATTTGTTCGCGAGGCCGACCCCCTGCCTGAGAGGTCCAGACCTCTTCCCCGGGACCGGTTTTTCATCCTGAGTCGTTTTGTTGACAGTCCCGAGGCCTGGCGAGGGCCCCTGGAGGCCTAAAATAGCGAAAAGCCGTCCGTCATTAATCGAGGGCATCTAGGTCCCTCGCGCGAGGCCAGCCCCCGCAGGGCAAACTTCACATGTTCGGCGTGGCTCCCAGAGGGATGTGCGTGATGACCCTCCCCCCCGCACCCAGGGCTGTCCACCTCTTTTTGTTGCTTCCCCCCCGAGCGAGGGTCGCGGCGTGAGAGACGGGGAAGAACATGTCACAGGTCGGTACCACTAGGGGGAGCGGGGAGCGGGGAGGAGCGGGAGAAGGATGAGGGCGGAAGGGGGTAAGAGGGAGGAGGGAGGTGGGAGGTGGGAGAAGGAAGGAGGGAGGACAGAGAAGGAGGGAGGAGGAGTGAGGAGGGAGGGAGGAGGAGGGAGGAGGAGGAGGAGGAGGAGGAGGACGAGGAGGAGGGCGTGAGGGGAAGGGGGGGGGCGCGCCAGGAGGAGGAGAAGGGGGGGAGGTGAGGAGGAGGAGGAGGAGGAGGAGGAGGAGGAGAAGGAGGAGGAGGAGAAGGAGAGGAGGAGCAGGAGGCAAGCTAGGTGCGCTCGCGCCTGAGTTCCTTTCCCTCCCCTCATGTCTTCCCATTGCGCTGGTTTCTCTTTATCTGCGGACGCGTGTCATAGCCGACCTGGAACTCCGCAAAAGACCCCTTGGTGTGATGCGCAGTCGGAAAAGGTAAACTTGAAGGACCTGTGCGGCCTGCGGGACCTCTGAGGCCTGTGGGGCTTGTGAGACCTGCAACACTGGTGGGACCCGTGGATCTGTGGGACATGCTGGAATTGTGGGACTTGTGAGAACTGCGAGACCTGTTGGACCCGTGGCACCGGCGGGACCTGCGAGACTTGTGAGACCTGCGGGACTTGTTGGATTTGCTGGACGTGGGGGGCATGCGAGACTTGCGACACTTATGGGTCCTGTGGGACCTGTGATACCTGCGAGATGTGCGAAACATGCGGGACCCAGAAAGTGGCCCACGCTGGGGCGGGAGCGCCATTCTGAACAACGGGAGCACAGCGCCGGTTTGAAAATGAGGCCCACTCTGCAGCGAGAGCACTATTTTCGAAAACATGTAAACGATCGAATGGTTTAAACAACGTATGCAAAACGAAAAGCACATTTCGCGCACATCTGGTGTAAAAAAGAAGGGCGGACACGGAGGAATCGAAGTGAGGAAACATCTAAGTAAAACGAACTCGCGCACGACATGTGCGCAACAAAAACCGTATGCAGAGGGGGGGGCCGGACTCTCTCAGGATTGTTCCGGGGGAGAGAGGAGAGTAGTATTCGTATTGCTTCATCGTGGAAGGGCGGGGGGCTGAGCGGAAGGGGATGAGGAAGAGGAGGAGAGTGAGGAAGGGTTAGGGGCGCAGGAGGAGGAAGAAAAGGGGAAGAGGAGAGGAGGAGGAGGGACAGGAGGAGGAGGAGGAGGAGGAGGACCGGTGCAAACCCAAGAACCATCAACGATGTTGCAATGTACCTTCCCTCCAAGCTCCCTCTTCATAGAACCTTATACCTCCCACTGAGGGAATAGCCCCGTTGGGGGACAACCGTGATAAAATCTTGAAGCGTGGCAAAACACCAGTCTCAAGACTTCAACGCCACGACCTAACCTGACTGTTACGTCTTGGCGATCCTGAAACGTGCCTGAACGCCATTCCTGGGACTTGAACGCCGCGAATTAAAGTAACTGTTGGGCTTGACAGTCCAGAATCGCTCCAAAACTCAATTACTGGTACGTTAACCATGAGAAGCAGTGAAACGCTTGCGAATGTGATGACACACATGCGCGGCACTGATGCGAGAGCCGCATGTTGAAAAGGAACCGCCCTCAATCCGTGAAGTTCCTCCAATTTGTTCGGATGAATGTGCGCGGCACTAAGATGAGAGCCACATGTCGAAAAGGAACCGCCCTCAGTCCGTGAAGCTCTTCCAATTTGTTCGAATGAATGTGCGCGGCACTAAGGCGAGAGCCGCATGTTGAAAAGGAACCGCCCTCAATCCGTGAAGTTCCTTCAATTGGTTAAAATGAAGGCGCGCGGTACTAAGGCGTGAGCCACATGTTGAAAAGCAGCCGCCCTGAATCCGTGAAGCTCTTCCAATGCTTTCGAACGAATGTGCGCGGCACTAAGTCGAGAGCCACATCTTGAAAACGAACCGCCCTCAACCTGTGAATCTCTTGCAACGTGTTAAGACGAATGTGCGCGGCGCTGAGGCGAGAGCCACATTTTGAAAACGACCCGCCCTCAACCCGTGAAGCTCTTCCAAAAGTTGTAGAAGAATGTGCGCGGCGCCAAGGCGAGAATCACATCTCGAAAGCGGCCGACCCTCCATATGTGAGACTGTTGCCGGTTTCAAGCTCCAGGCCCATGAATGGTGTGGAAGTCTCAGGCGAAACGCTCCGCCCGCCCATTCGACTGGCCTCGATGTGCGACAGGGAGGAGTTGTTTATACGGAAAACGAATGGAGCAGGAGGAGGTGGAGGAGGAGAAAAAGGAGAAAGAGAAGAGAGAGGAGGGAGGAGGGAGGAGGAGAGTGGAGGCGGAGGGGGGGCGGAGGGGGGAATGAGGAAGAGGAGGAGGATGGGGAAGGGTGATGGGAGCGGGAGGAGGAGGAGGAGGAGGAGGAGGAGGGGAGGAGGAGGGATACGAGATAGGAGGGGTGGACGGGGGGACGACGTCAGAGGTTTCGGTGGATCCCCCAGGGCTATCCCGCCCCTCCAGGCTCCGTGGTGGCCCGATCGGTCCGCCTCGTTCTCGGCTCTGGGCGACTCGGTCCGATTCGACCCTGATATTCCGACGATCGAGAGTGAGACGAAAAGAATTCAGGAGGGGAAAAATCACAGGCACATTTAATAGTCGATCCCCGGAAACATGGGAAACTATGGGCAGTGGGGGGGAAGACAAACACACAGAAAATATAGGAAGATATGGGGATCCCGGGATTTTGTGTGTATTTGTTTGTGTGTCGCAGGGCTCCTGCAAGAATGGGTGCACAGGCCGACCGCAGTTTTTGTTCATGTTGAATCGGGCTCGTTGTCGGTGTCGCCGCGGACGGTGTTCACTTGAGACAGCAGGCCGCCTGCCCAACAGCGGCCGCTGCTGGTTTGGGACAACAGTTGTTGCTGGTCATTGACCCGATGTCTCCGCACCATTCGGGGCGTCCAAAGGTATTCCGAGGCCCGATGTTT